GTGTTATCCACGAACCAGAGCCCGCGTCTGTTCCTGAACTGTGCTGGTCTGATTTTCAGGCCATATAGGATCATGGCGAATTCCAACTGAGCAATGTGGTGGTCGCTGCTCTCGAAGTGGCAATAGACCGCCTCTCCCACCGTGGTCACAAAAACTGTGTCGCGTCTGGCAATGATCGAAGAACACCAGGTGGAAACCGCCCGTGCCCTTCCCAGGCGCGCCTTCTGCAGCGTCACCCCGCCTTTCCCACCACAAGTCGAACGTTCTCCAGGACTGCCTGGATAACTTCAAGGCTAACTTCCAGTTTTGGCGCCGAACGCTCACCTTTCTGCAACTGGCGATCTTTGATGGCTTGCAGACCGCCTGCCCCAATGCAGCCAAACATCCCGAGCTCCAGGAAATTGAGCATGCCATAAGCTTGGATGCCATTCCGGACCTCAACGCCCTGGACTGGACTATCCCTGTAACCATCTCCTGGACTTTCCGCACCAGCCGGTCCCCCACAAAGAACTGGGTGCCTTCGGACAGGGCCGCCGAGAGTTCAAAGTCAAGGCCGAGAAACGAGCCTTCCGCAACCATGAGCCGGCGCTTCTCGCTGGAAAAAGGCGTGCCAAGGAGATCATTCAATACTTTGTAAGCATGCTGCCCTGAGCCTTTGGACGACCTCCAGTCGGAGATGTGGCTGTCGTCGAAGAATGCCGACACAAGCGCCTAGGCTAATCTCCTACCTGCATCCACCATGCGCTCGCCTTGATGCTCGTGATAGTATCGCCAGGCTTGCATGGGGCCCAAGCCTTCTGGCACCACCACCAAATGGCAACCTGAAGCCCCTCGCCACGTGTCACGGCGCTGGCAGGGCATATCCGTACAGGGGGCCACCCGAAATGCGGGTAGCACACCCTTTAGCTCGGGCTCTCTGTTCCTTGTCAGGGGTGTATGTTGGATTTCGACGACGGAAACCCACAATCCCATCGCGGAGGCCTGTTGCCCACGGCTCCATCGACTGCAGACCTCTGTAGCGGCCTCCTGGTATGTCGCAAGAGACAACACATTCTCCTCTGTGTGGTAAGCAGCCCCCTCAGCGAATACAGACTCCATAGAGGGTCGCTCACTTGAGTAAAGCAGGGATTCCCTCCTTGTGCACACAATCAGCAAGGTAATTCCTTGCTCAGACCTGCAACAAGTTCCACAGGTCGACTCCTGTCTGTCAATCACAGGTCGACTCCTGCTCAGCTCCAACAAAAGCTACTGCCAAGTTGGCTCACAGCCCGGCTTGACCCAAAATGGCAGCAGCATGAACCTTTGGGAATGAATTGCATGCACCCAAGCCTGCCAAACTCAACATGCGAACAGATAATAGGGACCCCGGAGTGAAGGCCCAGGGGCTTATAGCTCCCACCTCAGAACTGTGTTGCAGCAGGTTTACAAGTCATCCTCAAACCAGAAGCCAGAGATCGAGGATCCCTCCGTGTAGCCTGAAAGTGGATGGCAAGCACGCACAAGTCAGTCCCAGAATGAGGTACAGGTCCATGTGAGAGGGTTGCACTTGCTTTAGCTCTTGCAAGGCAGCTTTCCGTTTAGCAAGGGACCTGGACAATCGTAGTTGTTTTACATTTGTTTAGCTTGGTTTGCTCTGGACTCGCTCATGCAAGATTCAAGAAATCAAGACCCAGCTGGCCTTGGTAATAGCTGCATTTTCCTGACCTGAGTTTAGTTTCTACACTTCATCAGCTTTCGTTCCCAGCTCACACTTTTCAGCTCGTAGCTGGCAACGACCCACCGGACAACGGCCCGAGGAACATTGCAACCATTTCGCGGTGCTGCTCTTTGCAACATCGAACCTCAAGCAATTGCTCCCTAAAACCCATCAATCAGATCTAGAGATGAGCACTGATAAGAAGCTGGCGCGGGGTCGATATGATGTCCACCTATGGTTTCAAGGGTTCAGTCGGGTGTAGCACACAAACAGTGCAAAGTCAAGGCTTCGACAATGCCCACAATTGGCACACGGATATGCGCACACCTCGTCTGGCCATGATTAACGCATTTGGCATGCGTAATGGGTAGCAGTTTGGCGCACGCCACTTCCAGTGTCCAAAATCACCGACACACGCTGTGGAGGCGTGCCCACGACGAGATCCACCTGGGCATGTCTCAAGATGTTCAGCACAAAAGCAGCCACAAACTATCCACACCAGCAACCAATAACACTTCTTGGAAGCTCCGGGTGCCAAGCGTAGTAGTATGCATACACATCCACATTCCTCAAGGCATGAAACACCCAAGCTTGCGCTAGATTCAAGACACCAAGAAAAAGCACGAGTAATATCAGCTTTCTGCTCTTCCGGCTTGGTGAGCACAACACCCTTACGAATGTGCGATATCACCTTCTGAACCCGAATAGCTAAAATGAGCCGTGATGTTGTCTTCATTGTGGAGAAAAGCTATAGCCAAAGTCGATGCGTTCGAGGCGCATGTGAACACGGGCCTACACTTGCCAGAAGGAAATCACATGCGGAAGATGAACAACACAAGAAATACAATCACATGAACTGTCCTGAAAAGCGGCACTTGCCTGCATCAGCTCGGCTTGTTGTCTATCTGATCTATACCTTGTTCATGCCTGCATGTGCAACCCGCGAATGCGAGAGGCATCAAAGCCTGAAACCACGCGCTGACATTAAGCCAACAATCGACAAAAGAGGAGGAGGTGAAAGGGAAAGGAATTGATCGGAGCCGCGTACATGTTGGAGTCCCTCTACAAACCTATGAAGCACAAGTCCAGAAGCCATTGTAAAAATGTCCTTTCGCCAGGATAGCTTCAGCATAAATGAGACGAATAAAGCCAGGTCCGTGGTCTGCATCAGTTCCGCCAAGCGCGGGATAATCTCACAGGCGTGGTCTGTTGAGGAACTTGCAAGCGAAACAGATGGCTCACTGCCATTGCCAGCAGTGAGGAGTGAGCCAAGAGAGCTTGGGCCTCACGACCTGTGCGAGCCGATTCGAAGCAGGCAAACAGATCATCGTCCCGGACTATTTCAGACCCAAAGTGGTCAGGAGGCATAACGGAGATTCCGCCACGAAATGATCTCGACACGTCTGCGTACTTCATGCCTCTCAACCCTAAAACTTATCAGGGGTCAGAAGCTGTGTGCGAAGGTTCTCTAGTGGATAAGAGAGGGGTGTCACGGGACGAAACGACGATGCGCGACGGTGCGACGTCCACGCGACGACGATGTGACGACCATGCGACGACGATGTGACAAGGAGTCTACGATGACCCGACGACGAGGCGACGACGACCCGACGACGGGGCGCCGACAACGCGATAACGTCGTCGTGCCATCGACGCAGCGTCGTCGCAATGTCGTCGCGCCGTAGTCGCATTGTCGTCGAGTCGTCGTCGCGCCGTCGTCTTACTGTTGTCGCGCCGTCGTCACGCCATCGTCGCACCGAAATAAGGGCCTAGTTTTGGCCAAAACTATAGGCCTTATTTCGTTGCGACGTCGGGTCGTCGTCCTTTGTCGTCGCGTCGTCGTCTCGTCGTAGCGTCGTCGTAGCGTCGTCGTTACGTCGTCGCCGTGTCATCGTCACTTCGTTGTCTGGTCGTTGTCGTGCACGTCTTTCGGACCCGTCGCATTTTGAAGTCTGTATCAGTGTACAGCTCTTGGCCCTAGATAACCTAAAACCCGAATATGCAATCCATCCTGCAGCCTACCGATCCTCCAAGCAAGACAACGTTGTATGACGAATCACGCTCGCATGATGCAAGCCTCTGATGTCTGTGTTGCAGTGCAATATTCTGTACAGGTTGCGGTCATGGCTCATGGTGTCTGAAGCTTGTTATCAAGGCTATGCCAAAATATTGTAAATTGTTTTTTGTTAAACATACTGGGCTGCGTTTATGATACGGCTTGAAGCAAGTGTGAGTGGGGATTTGCTCAGGAACCGCAGCTTTGGTTCCAGCGCGACTCAGCCACAGCTCCATCCAGCAAAGAAGCCTTATGCTTGATGGAGATTCCAGCCGCGTGCCGTACCACATGCTGCGTGTGCTTCAGATTGCTGCCTCTGGACATCTCTGGACAAGCCAACGGCTCTCAATTCTCTGCTCAAGATATGCCGCTCATTCACATCACCTGGAGCTAGCTGTCTCACGCTTTTCTTCACTGCCCACGATTTCCCCGCTCTCATTTCATTTCACACACCGGACCAGAGGGTCAGCATGATCATGGGATGGAGCACAGGTCGATCAATGCTCATGGCCTGGAATGCAGGATCCAACGAAATTTATGGGTTTGGAGGGGCAACCGAACAAGGTATGGAACAAAGACGGCGGCGTAGGCCCAAGATCTGGTGTGTGGAGCCGCAATGTCTTCCAGACCAAAAAATGAGAAAAGCTCTCACTCAACTCTCGCGCTCGAATCCACACAACCGCAAATTTTTTGAAGCACGCGTGCTACATCAGGAATCCGAGGTCTGCACCCATACAGTCTGGCATGCTCGATTTTTCTGTCCGCATCATAAATGCCAAGGCTAGTTTGCGACAGGCCTCACAGCACCAGCACAAGATTCAACAACAGGTGGGAAGGTATTCGCACTTTCATCTAGTCGAGCAGCAAAGCAAGACCAAGAGCAGGCCGTAGTGCATCGAGCTCCTGAGCTTGAAGGCCTGTACCTAAAATGCTGCACCAAGCCTGGAGAATATTGGTCACACTGGCTCCTAACCGATGCTCAGAATTTCCATTGCGCAAACCAGACTGGATCCAATCATGGTAAGGCCAAGGTCAACGGTCGCATGTGTGCGTGCAAGATCATGGACTGTCGATTTGAAAAGCTTGGCATTCAGAACTTCCGACTGTTGGTATTCAAGTCTCCCCCCCGTGGCGGTCTAGCAAATGTTTGCACATACAGCTGGAGCCAGAGAGTTTATGCCGCTCCTTTCATCGCTTCCGCCAGAAGCGCATCAACGGTTCAAGACCCAAAAAATGAGCCAGGATGACAGTGACCACCGACAGGTCGGAACTCTTTTTGGAGTTTTCGCGGAGCTCCCGGCTGAGAACCTCATGTGCAGCAAAGGGATGAAGGCCTGGTGGCAAGAGGTCAAATGAACAAGGAAGTTCTCTCTGCCTGGAGCAAGTTCTCGTGCTCGGCCAGGATTTCCAGATTCGTAGGCTGACGAAGAAAAGACAGAAGCAAAAGTGCTCCCTTGTACTCCCAGCTTGGTGCTGCAATCAGCCTCTGTGCAGACTCTGAGGATGTGCTTCACGCCGATGACCTTCTTCTCCATTCGGTCCTGTTACCCAAATGTTCGGATCACAAGGAAAACCACAAAGCTCGAGAGGGATGGGCCTCGTACAGCTGATCAGCATAATCCTCAATGTTTCGCACGTCTGCTTGTGGGAGCAGCGGCTCCTGCCAATCGGTGCGACAGTCAAACACGTATTGCTGCCGGAAAGACCATAACTGACTGTGCAGTTTCACATCCTGTCGGCGTTGCTGCGGGACTGGCGGAGGCGGCGGCGGCGGTGGAGGGGGTGGCTCCTTCCAGAGGTAAAAAGCAAGCAGGAACAGTGATAGGGTGCAAAAGGGATGCTGAGACTTCTCAGCAAGAGGGTTCGGGAAATTGAGCACGCCCACTCAAAGCTACAATGCGCAAGAAGAAAAAAGACAAAACAGCTGCTGGCTGAAAGGCTCCGTCCTTATAAGGAAAGCTCCTCTGTCCCGCAATCTGGATTCATGCAACAAATAATGTTCCTGCACGTGCCCTCCCTCACCAATTTCATTACTCCACCCTGCGAGCCAAAGCACGACGAAACCAGATCTGAAGAAGATTGTCACCTAGTCTCGGCTGCCCTTTTTGCCACGCGTGGTCCTGCCGCTGTCCTTGATGCTGTTCTAGTTGTCCGGCAGCCTCGCCCATGCCCGGGGAACACGACACAGCAATCCACCAACCAGGAGTTTCATAATATGCACCGAACCAGGCATCACAGCTCTGCACCATCTAAACAACTGCACTACACCGCCATGATTTGTGATCTCTGCTTCGAACAGCTGGAATGCGCTTGTCATGCTCACTGCACGTCCGTGGCATTTCTTAGCATGACATAGTTGTTCAATTTCTTTGGCGTTCTCATGCCCAGCCAGAGGACAGGCGTTTTGCCAAGTTTGCCATGCATCGCGAAACCTCATGCTCTGCCAGGGCCATCAACAGCTGCTCAACTTCGCCAGCCTCACGCGCAGCGTCCTTCTTCAATGCCAAGATGACATCACTTTAGGCGTGCCTTTGAAGCTGGAATATACTTCCTGAATTTGTCCATGACCTCCTGCGTGAGGCCGCGAACCTCTGATCCTGGCCACTCTGACAGAATATGTGGTCGGAGTCACCCTCGGACCCTCGCTGCCCTGAGACTGCCGAATGTGGGATAGGTGGCACGCTTCAAGCAGTGTCAATCCTCTTAAACCTCTGGGCACACGAATGATCTTCTGCCCAGGCTGCGATTCGGATCTGACCTTCATGGAAGCTCGTGCAAGCTTTGCCATATCCAAGTCACAAACATGACAGCGCCGCAGGATTGCCGAACTCATCGAAGTGATGAATTTCCGTGGTGTAAGATACCTGTCTAAATCAGCATGGTGACTTGAAAACATCATGCTGAAGCTGCAAAACATGTGACATGACCCAAGCAGCCAAGGATGTCACTATGAGCACAAGCTGCTCCGGGTCTGCATCAATCTGACCTTGAATCTGCATACTGTACTTGGGGCAGTTCCGAAAGAAGTGGCATAGAGACGAAAAGTCTGAGTCTCTCACCCAGGCGAACCTTCTTTTTTGTGGACATCACATCCACCTTGCTCCAAGCAAACACTGAAAGGCATTGGTGCGACCCCGTGGCCGCCAACGGCGCAAGTGAAACAAGTATGTGAAGCTGAGCCTTCTAACCAGCTACGTACAGGATCCGTTCCTTTTAGATGAGGGAGGTACTCCTCGGAATTTCGGAGGCTATTTGATTCTTTCTTTCATTTGGCTGACATGTTCGTCCAGGCTGCATGCATTCCCACAGACTCCGCCTTTGATGCCCAATGTGTGGGGCTGCAGTCTTTTTGTTCGCGAAAGCTGAGAGGTCCAAGAGTTAGGAACCTACCAGGAGCTAGAGTCATAATGCCCACTTCGTTGAAATGGCAACCTTCGTGATGCGGAAAGCATCTGCAGAAAAACAACAACAAAAGGAAAAGAATTCCTACCTACAACCAGTGGCCACGGGGAGCACTGTACTGCAAGCCCGGGCCAAGTTTGCGCGTTCATTAACTCCATACTGGTTTCAGCATGGGTAATGCAAGAAGATGCGAGGGCAGCATCCATCCTACCTTCCTTGAACGTGGTGTCAGGCCTACTGCATCCCAGTCGATGCGGGGTTGCAGGGCAACCAGGCGCCGACTGGGGAAAACACGTGTGCATGGCAAGGGCAGAAGCATATACACTGCAGAAACCGTCAAGCAGTGCATGCGGGCCTCCGCCGGCCCCAAACTCAGAGCAGGAACAAAGAATGATCCCATTGAAATGGCCAAAACAGAATGCAAAGTGGAGCAATTCTGGCCGCGCATGGCCAAGTGGAACGCACCAGCATTCTGGAGTTTACCGTCTTCACCGAAGCAGAACCTGGGGGCGCATTCGCGAAAGGGGAGACACGGGTTAGGGAAGACATGGGTGCACTCAAACGTGAAAGAATCATGGTACATAGCGAAATTGGTTGCCCTGGGCATGACCTTGGGACACAGCTGAACCCTGGGGGTCGCTGCACGTTCCCAACATCATGCTGACAGGAGCAGTGTTGGCATACACTAAGTTATGCATCCTCATTATTTGGGTGCTCTCTGCGCTGTGCCCCAACCCGCTGAAAATGCTCGCGAAGCCTCTCAGCTGCCTTGGCCGCGGCATGTATCGCATTGTACTCCCAAGTCATGGCATTGTGAGCAACAACATGCCACCTCTGACGGAGGGAGCCTTGCAACCGTCTGGAAAGTACTTCTGAGCAGTAAGCATCTGCTCGCTCATTGAGTTGCCGCAAGAAGGAGCCATCAAGATCACCCTCAGGCCTCCAGTTGGGGTTTTTGTTATGTGAAGGCACCCAAATGAACGAGGCAGGCACACCAAGGATGTTTGCATGCTGCAAATTTAGTTGTATCTCCTGGACCAAGCGTGCACATGTGGCTGATGCCTTTTGAGTCATGACGGCAGCGATGGCAGCCTGGCAATCACATATCACAAACACTTGTCCACGCGCACCATTGGAAGCGGCACTTTTCAAACTCCTGGAAAGGAACAAGATGGCGTTCAATCCCTGCCGGAAGGCGGATTGATCCTCATGTCCCGCGCCAGCCCCAAAAGAAAACCCCTCAAAGAAGATGGCAAAACTTCCGACATCGTCTTTGCTGCCCCCATCGGTTGACACGTAAAGCGGCCGGTCCTCATGCAAGACCTGGGACAGCTGCTGCGAAAGACTTTCAGCAAAGTCCTCAAGATCGACTCCATGCGGAGCCGGAGGCATCGTTGGGACAGGTTGGCAGAACAATCTCTCCTGCGCCCGGTCAACGGGCATCGCCAAGCCCTCTCTGAGATCCTGAGTGCACGGGCAACACCAAGTGATGTGTACCCGACTTGGCTGCGGAGCGCCACAGAGACAAGTGGCCTGAACCGTGGAACTGAAGAAGCGCTGCCCGGCATTAAGAAACCAAGCAGAACCTCCTGTAACGGAAGAGGCATGATGAAGGTAATGGTCCCTAGCCTCATCATGGCAAACGCGATGTCCAGCGAAGGCATATTCATGGTTGGGGGGGGGTGCAGGCAGATCAAGTCCACGGGCAAGGCTAGGGTCCCGCCTATGTAAAGACCGCACCACCCGTCCAGTTTTCTTCATGTACTCCCCCCTAAAGCGCTCAGACAACCAGCGATGCACACATCTAAAGGAGTCGACCCCAACTTCCAGAGAACGCACGGTACCATTGGCATCAAAGCGCTGCAACCTGCACTCAGAATCATTCAGGCGCCACTTCAGCTTGTCGAAAACCGACTGCGCACGCGGAAAAACCTCATGCCATTTGGGAAAAGCCCGATCAATCGGGCAGGTGTCAGTCCACTTGGGTGCTCTTGAAAGAAACCGCCAAACCTCCCTGACGCAGGCCAAATTGGTGGCGTACTCAGGCTCGATTTGCCAAGACAAATGCTCAAAGATCAAAACTCTGGCAGCTTCCTGTCCATACCAGGGATTGAACAAGGAGAAAATCTCTTGTTTGACCGCAAACGAATCATCCCTGCTGGGAGTTGCAAAGGCAGCAGCCCAGTGCAAACAGGGCAAAACTAAACTGCGCACCAATTTTTGCTTCTTGAAGGTACTGGTCTGTGTCCACTTCAAGAGTCGCTATCGGAGTATGGCTTTTCGCAGCGAAAACTTAAGAAGATGCCACCCCCCATTGAAGTCAACGGTGAGCCCCAGAACATCAACAGAATCGCAAACCTGCAATCCAAATTGATCGGCAATGTCCTTGGTCAAGTCGGAGTGCTGCCCGCAAGCCAGGAAACATTTGTCAGGGGCACGTGTAAGTCCACATGCACGATCGAAATCAGCGGATTTTTGCAGTGCATTCCTCAAGACCTCAAGAGAAAAGCCTTGCTGGAGCAGGATGGTGCGATCATCAAGGTAGCCGAAACCTGAGATGCCCTTAGTGATGGTCAGCTCACACCAGCAGTGTGTCACCGCCGCTGCCAAGTATGGCGACAAAGGACAGCCTTGAGCAAGTCCAGTCAGTTGAGTGGTCCACTGACTACTAAACGCACCCTCAAGCACAAAGATCCGTTGGGAGTGCGCATAGAAGGTTCGTAGAATGGCAAGCAACTCGGGGGGTGCTCTCAAATGCAACAAGATTGTCTCAAGTGCTCCCCAATTGATGGAATCGAAAAACGCAGCTAGATCTTGCTGCGCTAAAACCCAAGCTCCTCGACGCAAACTTTGGTGCAATTGCATGTGAGCGGCGCTCACACTTGCGGCAGGTAAACCACCTGTGTCATAGTGGGATTGCCAGGTTTCGCACCAGGGACGCATATTGCTTGCCAAAGCCCTGGCACCGGACCTAAAAAGGGAAATAGGTCTGGTGCGACCTTTCTTCTTCCAAATTAAGACTACTTTGGCCTTACACCAAGCATTTGGGAGTTTTCCAAGCTCAATCGCTTTGTTCCAAATAGCCGAGGCAAGTTCCCACCAACCCATGGGAAGCCTAGCTAGATCTCTGGCCTTTCAAGAGTCCGCACCTCCAACCTTGGTGGTCATTGCTTTAGTGTTTTGCAAAAGTTGCTCTGCAGTGACCCGCATAGACACTTGGCATGGCTGTGGACGCTGAACCCCCTGAAGCAGACGGGAGAGCTCAGACCAATCTTGGTCTTGCTCAGCATTCCACTTTTCTGTCCAGGCGCCAGCCTGGTCCCTAACTGCAACGGCTGGGTGCCTGACACCTTCCTGATTTGGGCCTACCTGAACACCTTGCTCATGCAGTAACTGCTGCTCGGTGCGGTTCTTGACAAATGAGCGGATGCGGTGGTCCTCATGACGGAGCTTATCCCTCCATGCACACAGAATGGAATCCCGCTCCTGCTTCTCATAAGCCATCAACAGCTGTCTAACGACTGGCGCCGCACGTTGCAAGCCGTCCCCGGCGAAGAAGGGGAGCTCCGGAGCAAGTCGCCTAACTCCAGCCAGAGAGGTCTCAACCTTGTGAGCAAGAGAGCGATCCCAGGGACGATTGCCAAAGTGGCTGAGCCTGCCATACAACTTGCGAAGACCCGCAACACTGGGAGAGCAGAGGGCTTTTCGGGTCTTATTATGCGCAGAAGGCATGGACGGAGTCCAGTCCGCGGAGCGGGGTATAAAGTTTCCACCTGGCTCACATAAGCATTGTTCTGCCATGTCAGAAAGCAGGACCCAAGCTTCATCCAAACAACCCTGTTCAACGGCCTGGGCAATGTCCTGAGTCTGGCAAGCTTGAAAAAGTTCATCAATATGCTTGGCTGTGCGATCAGACACTTTCCTGCGGCACGGTCCAGAAAGAGCCAAAGGGGCACTAGTCTGAAAGCAGTAGTTGACAACCAAGTGGTCAGAGAAATAACATTCCCTGCGCAGCACAGAAGACGCCGGGAGTCTCCAGTGGGACAAAGCGAAGTCGATTCGGCGCTTCCGCCCCGGCCCGGTGTTCGGGAGGCTTCCATCCCTTTCACAACTGTCGCAGGCATGTGTGCCACCCGATTGGATGGTGTGGCCTAAAGAAGCTTGATGTTGTTCTAAGTTGAAATCCCCGATCAAGACGTAGCGCAAACCTGTCGAGGCAGCAGCTGCAACTATCTCAGAGGCTTGCTGTTGTGCAATCGCTTCATTGCAGGCTTGAAAGTAAACCCCCACCACAAGCAGCGTCTCAATCTGTTCGTTCGGCCCCTGAACCTCAAAAGTCCCGGCGGCGTACCTTGTGGCAGCAACATCCACATTGAGCGCGCACGGTCGGAAAGGGATATGGCTGCAAAGCGCAACTTTATGCACTCCTGATTCGGGCTTGCTGAGGCAGGCATGCATCCGTCGACGCTTCCAGGCGTGGATAAAACCCGAAGCCAAGTGAGCAGGGATGTCCACCTCAGGGAGCGCAGCTATTTGAAATGGAAAATCGCAGCTGAAGTCAGCAACTCGATCAACGGCAGAGATGCCACATCGATTA